CAAAGAACCTACATGAAACACACATGCTCGCAGGTCATTTGGCTGGTCTCAACCGGTTCATCGCTCAATCAGCTGAGAAGGGTTTTTCATTCTTTCAGGCATTGAAGAAGGGAACCGAATTTCTTATGGGTGGAGAATTCTTGGCAGAGTTATCGTTGCTCATGAAACCCGAGCCAGGGGACGAGCTATATACCTCTCTGTAGGTCATGTAACGATAAACTCAGTGCTACTGAAGGTGTAAGGACGACAGTAAAGACCGATATATTATACTAACAAATTGTTATAAGGGCAAAGACCAGATACAACATCATTGAGAAGGTCGCGATCGCGCTGGTCTTTATAGTATGCAAATCGCGACCTTACTTCTTAGTCGAACGTGAATAAGGATATTGAAGCAAACCATCACGTAGATGACATTTGGGGAAAACTGAATTATAGCCAGACGATGGAGCTCTCTCAATTGAGTTAGGTCGGCTTGAATGTGGAAAACACAGAGGACTGCAGATTTGGTTCCGAAAGAAGGTATAAAAGTTGTATGGAGGTAGGTCGAAGAAATTAGTGGATTTAAAGGTAACGAGCTCCAAAGTATGGAGAACCTCATAGAAAAATATGAAGGTATTGAGCTGCCCAAAGGTCAGACAAGAGAAATGGTTCAATCCACCTGACTTTTCCATCTCAATCAACTCAATTAAGGAAGGTAGAACGACCATGGTTAGTTGTACTGGTGAGCTATGGGGGGGAGGGTGTGTGGAAGGTCATGATGGGTCCTCAGGCTCGTCTATGGTAGATGGATGGGTTTCAATGTAATTTACAGCTCACTCCAGCAGATTTTACCTCCATGATCGTCAACTAACTCAAGCCGATAGATTTTGGCTTAAGGTTAAAAAGGGAGGGAAAAGTTAGAAGGACATGCATATATCTTGTTTGATGTCGAGCTCTAGATGTTTGTGCAAGTCAAAAAAAAGGTAAGTGTGTCGGATATACGGAAGTGTATAAATGCCTAAGTTCGTTGGGAGCTCAGAAAGGGAAAACGGAGAAGGAGACATCCTTTTATATATGAGAAAAAAACTAGGTCAAAGGTCGGTCACATAGGGTTGTTAGATCGACGGTTACACCTGCAGCATCCAGGGTTGGTTAGCCAAGCATCGTTCGATCTAGGTCTCACCTCTCAGCGTAGATCTACGGTAAAAATAGTGCCTCGGTATGTGAAGCATCACATGCACTCGAGTATTTTGCCTCGATACACGAAAAGGTGTCAGCATTTATGTGTGCTTCACGCCAGCTCCAGCTGCATTTAATGTTGGTAGCATGATCCTTGAACTTGCATTTAATGCTCGACAGACCCACTTCGAGATATTTATTTATGACCACACGAGTTAGAGCTTGTGTGCTCATAAGTAAGGGAGAGTAGACATATTATGGACAAATCGGTTCTAGACCGGAGAAACCCCCGACTCAACCTAAGCTGGGGTTTGTCAGGTCGATTATGTCGGGTTAGTCTCTCCATAAACGTTAGGTCGGGTCCCAACCTAACGACTTACGTGCATGTTGGTCGAGTTAGTATAGTAGGGAAGTTGGACTAACCGATGGTCAGACTTTGGTCAGAACTAAAGTAGATAAGGTGCTCTTAGAAAACTAGGTAGTCTCCAGCAACAAGATAAGATATTTTCGGGCTACAAAATAAGATATTTTGGGGTAGCATGGTATTCTTAGGCAATAAGTAACTATTCTCATATATAAGGAGTGGGCTATGGCCATATAGAAGGTTCTTTTTTTCTTAAGGTCGGACCCTCAACCTGTAAATAAAAAGGCCCTAAATGGGCAGAAAAGTCACAAATCTACAAGTCCAATGTCTGATATACATTAAGTCAAACGAAAGCAAAAATAGAAACAATGAAAGATACAGGAAAAAACTGACAACAACAACAAGTAACATAAAAGTATCAGATCCTGGTCGGGAAAAATCCAGTCGAGAAGTCAGCATCACGGGAGGGCAGATGCGTCAAAAGGTATGACCGGCTACACAAATCTGAATAAATGGTAACACATCTGATCCATTCGTATAAATGTACGGAGGCGAAGAAGAATATCGTCATGGTAGAAGATGCGCTTCTAGGGGGTGGTGGATCCGATGCTAGCGACGAAGTCAGCCAGTCGGTTCTCCTCGTGGAAGATATGCGAGATCCGAAAGCGAATCGACTGAAGTGTGACTCTAATACGCATGAGAGGATCTTAAATCCGTCATGTGCCCTGATTGCCAGAGGTCAAGAGAGTGATGACATCGGCAACGTCCAACTCTATCAAAATGTGAGATGAGATCGAGGCGGCAATTTAAAAACCAATCTGAAGCGTTTGAACCTCCGCATCATAACTCGAGGAGGCCCAAAAAGGGACCTGAATAGATGTAATATGAGTATCGCTATGGTCTCTAATCAGGCCCCCCACCTTCAGCTGCTCCGGCAAGTCAGTCAAAGGATCCGTCAATGTTTAGCTTTACCCAAGGAGGCTCGGGTCTCAGCCAAACAACAGCTCTGGGCGTAGATGCTAGACAAGCGGCAATGGAGATGGTGCAAAGCGACGGGATGGTGTGCTGCATGTCCAGTCTCTCAGCATAAATCTGCCCAGAGCGGTGATGAGAGATAGATGTTTGTCAACCTGCAAAATAATATGGGACCACAAAAAAGAATTATCCCTATGCTTCACATTATTTGTTTCTGTCTAGATGGACCAAAGGATATGACCAGGAATAAGGAAGTCCACATGCCTATCGTGTGTGTCCTGTGTGAAAAAACTCAGAAGCTCAAAAAAGTTATCTATGGTGGGTAAAGGTACATGGGTGTAACAGGAATAATGCTCCCACACTCTCCTCACAGTCTCGCTCTCCAGAAACAAATGGGCGGAGGTCTCAGTCCGAAAATCGCCAGTCTCAGCACAAATAGCAACGTGAGGGGAAAGATAACCTCCTCGTCTGCATCACAGTATCAATCGGTAGGCGACACAAAAGAAGATGTCATAGGAAAGTAGAGATTGTCTGGGTAAGAAGGTCGGTCCAGATGGCCCCGAAGAGAAGGTTAAGCTGGTCACCTAGTCGTACTTCCTCCCAAGCGGAGGTCGTAGAGAATGCACCCGAAGATGTAAGTTTCCACCTCATACCGTCCAACCAATCCCGACCCTATAGAAGGTTTTGATTAGAGATGTTAAATGGTCTTTGGCCCGACGGGCCGACCCGTTTAGCCCGAAAAAAAAAACAGGTTAGGGCCTTTTATTAGTAACCCGTTTAAATCAGGGCTTTTTAGGCCCGAACCGTTTAGTCCGAAACCCGCTAGGGTTAGTCCGAAACTCGCTAGGGCTGGCCCATTTAACTAGGGTTGCGGTGTAAATATTAGCATCAAATAAGTAATATGCTCTCTTAGATTCCTTGTATATTACAATTTTACTATTTCACTTGTCATGTAAGTATAAGTTGTAATGAATTATTATGATTTTGAAGATAATTATTAACAATATTGTTATTGTACTTCACACCAAAATATTTAAGCAAATCAGAACGACTAATAGGAAACACATAAAATATAGCGATAGAATTTTTAGTAAAAATTCCTAAAGCATACAAAATAAGTAGTAAAATGGTAATCATAAGTAATAGTTGTAATTTGTGTTCATATGTAATGTGTAGTTGCATATATAGAGAGGTAAATACTAAATAACCATTGAAAACAATCGTTAACTAACCATTGTTATTTTTCTATATTTTTTATTCTTTTGATTTTTTATATATTATTATAATTATAGCCCGCATAGCCCGTTTAGCCCAAAGCCCGCTAGGGTTAGGGTTAGGTCCCTTTATTGGTAGCTCGTATAAATTCAGATTTTTTAGGCCCGGACCGTTTAGCCCGAAGCCCGTTAGGGCTAACCCGAAACCGCTAGGGCTAGCCCGTTTAACATCTCTAGTTTTGATCCCTCTTATATTCATATCACTTATAATCTCGCACATCTTTCCATATTGAGAGAAAAAAATGACGACTTGATCGTCGGAAAGTTTTCTCGACGTCGGAATAAGACCGGTTTAGAGATCCAAAGAAGATCGGTGACATCAAATCGGAGTTGTTTAACATATCCCAATCAAATACACAAAATTGACACTTAGGTTCCAGAAAATCTGCATATAAATAAGGAGGGATAAGATGTCTTAGTTCGTTTTTAGCAAGTTACCTAAGATAGACTAGCTAAAATTCAAAAGTTAACAAAACAATCAACAATTAGTTATAAATAGCAAATCTATCCACAAAAATAAGTAAGTTATATTTGTTGCCTTGACCAGGAAATTAAACTTATGCAATCCTTAAAAACAACATAATTTTCCTTAAAATCCTCACTCCCTTTCGGTCCTCCCACAATACGACATGCTGCTTAACATTTGTAAATTAAGGAATCTAAATATATTATTATAAATGAAAATAGCTCTTTTTTAAATTAATTTACAATTTTTCTCTTTAAAATAATCAAACAAGTGAAATAAAATGATATTTTTTTTAATTGAATATTCCTGGTCTGTGAAGTGATTTTGGTGATCACATGCATATATAGACTAGTCAGATGCTTACAAAAATATCAAAACGTGCAATTTTTTTAATCCAAATTAATTTAAGTGGAGATGCTAAGGTCTCGTTACGGAACAATTCTGTCAGGGTTCGTAACCGTTAGTTCATCATGTAACTGTCGGAGATAATTGATCTAACGGTTACAAACCCCGACAGAATGGTTCCGTAATGAACTAACGGCACCGTAGCATTTCCCTATTTAAGATGTGTGTGTCTTTGTAACAATTGTCCTCTCTTCACTATAAAAATGTTACATTTGCTGCTTATTCTTAGTTAACAATTAAGTGGTCCACGCAAAAAAACTTCACAAATCTTCTGTGTGTGTTAATTCAAACACTTTAGTTCTTGATCATTTTGAAGTGGTTTGATAATTTGAAGTACTTTAGATAAGGAAAAAAGATGTTTTCCTTCAATAATATGCCCAATAATTATAAGTATGAAGTGGGGAGCTGTTCAGACTACTCTTACGACGACATTGTCGAGGGAGTTTTCGGTAATTCACCAGCGGACGAGGCAAAAGCATCGGCCGCAAGCCATAGCCATAAGGAAGCCGAAAGGCGAAGAAGAAAGCGTATCAATTGCCATATCGCCACTCTCAAATCCCTTCTCCCCAATGCAATCAAGGTACGTATATTACGTGTGCATGAGATAAATGGAGTTTGTACAAATGTATACATATAATTTGTGTGTGTTTTAGTGCAGACGGACAAAGCTTCTTTACTAGGAGAGGCTGTCCGAACAGTACGAGAATTGAAGAAGAAAACCATGCAACTATCGGCCATGCACCAAACAACTCTTGACGATTCGTTCGTGTTCCCGAGCGAAACAGACGAGCTCAAAGTGTGCCACGATTCGGGCCTCATACAGGCAACAGTGTGCTGCGAGGACAGGCCCGATCTGATGTCGGGCTTGATTCGGGCCCTGGAATCCGTGGCGGCAAAGGTGGTGCGGGCCGAGATGTCGACGGTCGGTGGGAGGACCAAGACTGTTTTGTGGGTCCGTTTAGGCAGTAACGTAACCGAAAGTAGCTTCACGAGTTTGGAGAGACTAAGGAGAGCTCTGAAATCCGTGGTGGATCGCGAGTAGACTTCGTTCGACATTTCCTTACACAATATGATTGGCTTTAATTTTGTGTGTTCCAATATTGTGTTTTGTGGCAACACTTTTTAGCTATTGCAATTGAGTTACTCTATATTGTGTTGTGTAATCTTACTCTATATTATGTTTTTCATGAGCATATCTATATCTTGTTCAGATAAAGGTCTCCAATTAGCCTTTATATGATCAGTTGCTCCCAAACTTTGTGTTGAATGGTATTTATACTGAGGGTAAATACATTAGACTTGCTCTCGACTAAACTACACTTTGAACTATTGTTGCTACTCTAAATGACAACATTTACATAAATGCTTATATAAACTAATATCCCCACAAGATTAACATGTATATTTTGAATGTTAATCTTGGAGAGTAAATGTGTGAGTGATCGATGCTCCTGAACGCTTTTGTGAGTAAATCAACTATTTGTCCGGCTGAAGGTATGTAATGTAGCTTGATTGTGCCATTGCTTATCTTCTCCCTACTAAGTGGCAATCGATTTGAATGTGTTTTGTTTTCTCATGTAAAACGGGGTTATATGCAACTGGCATTGCTGATTTTCTATCTTTAACAATGGAACTGAGGAAGAGTGAGGAATATTAAAATCATCAAATAAGTAAAGAAACATGGTACTTCACATGATGTACTAGCAAATATTCTGATTCAGCTGTGACCTATTATTTGTAGATTGTTTCTTAGACTTTCATAGAATTAAAGAATTTCCAAAGAAAATGGAGTATCTTGTTATGCTTCTTCTAATATTCACACAACTAGCTCAATCACTGTAATGTGATTCGGCTTTGGCCAAATTCATCTTAAACATTACTCATCACAATGACTACAGAAAAATAAACACACATTAGATCATTTCGTAGAGGAGGGCAATCCATTCATTAGCGAACAGGATTGAGGTGAAGACTTCATGCAATTTACAATATAACTTATATAACTGAGGACAAACTTATTGATTAGCAGTGTTCTGTTCTCCATAAAAAGAGTTCAAGAAAATTTGAGGTACGTAAACACTTTGATTCTTCTTGGGCTAGCCATCAAGAAGTAGACATTCACGGAGGTGGCAATCTGACTATTAGAACAGAAAGTTGTACAAACTTCATGAAAATGTCACTCCATAATTAATGCTACATGGATAACAAGCGAAGGTTGCAAGAACAATCTACTATTGTAAAACGCATCCCTCAATTTCATTTCGAATGCAACACTCGATTACCATATTATAAAAACCTATAATTGCGAGGAAACAAGATTGCAGCTGATTGACTGATTGAAGAATATTTAAGGAAGGTAGCTTGTGGTCTCTACTGACCTTGATGGTTTATCTCAACCGACGGTTGAGGTTTACTTAGCAGGTCGTTGTCGGGCCTGGCCTCCGAGAGCGTAATGTCAACCCAACGTGATAGTTTACTAGTCGAGCTATCATGACAAGATATGTCAATGGTTGACCAACCATTACCAGGTTGACAATTGGGTTGGGGGTTTTCTGGGCCTAAGAAGAGGATATGCATGGGGACATTTTCGTCCGATCATTCCTTAAGCCCCCGGCCTCGAGAGGGTCGTGATTACTCGAGGATTGATGGACCTTCTACCATATTGTTCTGGTAGAGGGTGGTGGACTAATCAATCTATATTCTTGTCGAAAGGGAGCTAATATGAGTGTTTGCCCAAAAGTATACATATGAATGTTTTGTGGGAAGAGGAGACAAAAGGCAAGTATTAGATATTTTGAGGCAAATTTTGACGAAACAACAGGGCAATCGAAAGCGGAAAGGTCGGTTGAGCCTCTCATTCGTCCGGTCGATGACAGAAAAGGAGAGGGTCGATTCTGTCGCCTTCATCTAATGAGGTATAGAAAGAAGATGAGAGGAAAAGTGTATGAAAAATCCTTATCGGGACACGACTTTTTATTGGAGTAAGGTTAAGATGTAACCCTTGATGGCCGCCCCTTCTTCTAGTTCCATTCTGTTGCCAGTGGGTCGCCAACAGTTATAATAAGTGTCTTTATGCAGATTTAAGCAGGGGTTACAATATGATTATGGTATAATTTAGTAAATGGAATATGGAAAGATCGAAATAAACTAAATATGCGTAAAAAGAGGAAGACACAAATACTGTCGATCGGCTGTGGCGATCAGCAAAGAGATTGTTCTTTAGAATTTTTATTGAGCACTGTAAGGATACAACCGAGAGTTCGATAGTATATGGTCTCGGATGACCTTTTTACATAGATGGTGTATATGTATATGAGGTTTGTCGATTGACTGATTGATCTTGATTCCTTGGCTTGCTTCATTCAGACTTGAGGGTCGGTGTTTATACAAGAAAAAATGATTGCGCATTAAATGTGAGTGTCAACTATGGGCTTAGGCCGACGGCTTAGGGTGGCGTCGCATGTTTCCATACAGAATTGGATGACAACTTAAGCGATGCTATCAGCTTTACCATTCTAGGTTCATACGATAAAGTTGATCGTCATTCTTCCTAGGGAGGCTTACGCGGGTGATCGCGAGGCTGATCATCGACAACCCTAACATCATTTGCTTGCGCCATGCGTAGAATGTATTAACATTTTGGGTCTTGTCCATCTTTTGGAATTAAATTTGCACTAGGGCACTGCTCTCTTTTTTATTGACTATTTTTTGGTGTAACAATTAGTGCTCACGGATTGTCACTTGCATGGTGGTAATAAGGTGACATTGGGTCATCAGTGAGATTGACAGTGCCATGGTCGATTGCACGAGTCGTACAAGTTAGGGTTTAGACAATAGAAATTTAGGACAAAATCGTACAAATTGAAGCTGAAATTGTACATATATATGAAAGAATTGTACAGATCGAGGCTAAACTCGTAGAGATTGTGACCTTAATCGATTGAGAGAGTGTAGAACAAGGAAAAATAAGAGAAAAAGTAAAAGAAATGTCTCCGGGATGGAGACGAACAAAGTAACATTTTAGAGATGAAGACAGACAAGAACTGCAACGGAAATATCAAGAAAAACGGTGATCAGCGCCGGCGACTGATACCGTGGAGACGATGAGTTGAGAGGGATAAAACAGAGAGAGGTGAAAAGAAAGTATATAGAATTGATCTGAATAATGAACGATTAAGGTTTACAAAGTGTGTTGAATGGTATTTATATAAAGGGTAAACACATTAGAATTGCTATTGACTAAACTACACTTTTACACTTTGAACTATTGTTGCTACTCTAAATGACAACATTTACATAAATGCTTATATAAACTAATAACATAGAAAAATGTTTACACTTTGAACTATTGTTGCTACTCTAAATGACAACATTTACATAAATGCTTATATAAACTAATAGCATAGCAAACTGGTTTATCATAATATTTGGCACAATGTTATAAATACCGTACCGGAGGTCATACCGGTCTAGCCATTTGTACGCGGTATTACTGTTTTTCATAATATTTGGATATTCTAAGTATATACTATTGAAATATCAATTACCCCATATAAGAGACAGGATAAATAACTTAATAAAAGGTACTTACAAGACCTCAACATAAAAAAAAATATAGAATAATGAAAAGTTATTTCATAACTTCAAGCCATGATAATCACTCAGCAAGAAGCATCACTTTGCATTAGGGCTGGTATTTTTTGACCGAAAACCGAAAATCGAACCGAACCGAATCGAACCGATGTGCTAAAAAATCAAACCGAACCGACTCATGTGTATCGGTAACCGAATTTTGGTAACCGATAAGTTATCGGTTCCGAACCCATTAGGGTTCGGTAAAACCGAACCAAACCGATAAGCTAATAAAAAAAACTTAATTTATATATATATAAGTAAAAAGAGAAAACCTATCTCTCTTGTTCACAATTCACTTATTCCTCTTCTTCTTCGAACAAGAGTACAAGAGAAATTAGGGCAGCGTAGACTCGTCAGTGTCTTCACCGTGCCATCCGCCATCTGCCGCCGCAGACCCGTGCCATCCGCCGCCGCCTCCGCCTCACCAAGCACCAGGTATTTTATTCTTGTCTTACTTCCAAAATGTGATCTTCTTTCCTCCCAATTGTTGGCTTTTATGAAAATTGAAATGTAAAGAGAAAAAAGATTAGTTCTTGCGTAGAGTCTGTGTCGATTTGCAAGAATCAACATGAAACGACGTCGACAATGAGTACAGAATTCAAAGAGCTGAAATAATATAAACCCACAAACCCAAAAACAAAAACAATAATTCCCCTTTCTCTGTCTAATCCCACCCATCAATTACTCTCTTTATTTGGGTTTTTTCTTTTTTGTTGGGGGGGGAGGGGAGGGAAATACTCTGTCTTGTGTGATTTTATCGAATGTGATGTTGTAAAAAAAAGGAAAAGAAGAAACAAATTCTGTGTGTATAGAAACAAATACTGGAGCAGCAGGTTTTTATTTTTATTTTTTGTTGCTTTCGGTTTTGGTTTGGTTTTTATCGAAACCGAACCGATTTTCGGTAACCGAAAATTCGGTTACCAAATCCTTATCGGTTCAGTTTCGGTATGGATTTTAGCGAAACCGAATTTAATCGGTTCGGTATCGGTTTTCGGTTATCGATTCGGTTACCGAACCGATACCACCCCTACTTTGCATACCAATATAATCCAAGTTTGGAGGAACATAGAGAAGTTAGCTACATGACAATAGAGAAAATGACTCTCATTAAGTCAGATACCCAAAACACTGACAAAACTGCACAATATGCAATTTTGGTCACCATTAATGTGATATAAGATTTATACAGCCATCCAGAGGGAAGTACTCAAAAATCACAAACACTTATTAACAATCTTGTACAACTGACGCCTCCGGTCGCTGTATTTAATACACTTCATTGCTTATACAAAAAATGCATTACACTGTAAGTATATAGCAGTGGCAGATCCTAGGTTACAATTGGAAAGAAACCAAAATCACTAATTCAAACATCAAAATATTAAATTCAAGAGAGTCATACCCGGA